TATATATACTTATATATATATAGTACATAGCAGATCTTTTTAATAATTAAAACTTTTCATAAATAAAATTAACTTTTAAAACATGAGAGTCAATAAGAGAATACATGCGAAAAGAATAAGACAACGAACAATGCAGATGTAACGTTATTAACTAATAAATGCGTATCCCGTATAGGTATTGCAAAACGGTATAATTGGTACATACTTTAATAATTTTAAGTACGCACACATTTATATATGCACACATAAATATTAAGAATTTTATATCTTTATACTCATTTATACGCGTACATATATTCTATGCTACGCGCGCATATATTTCATATAACGTAGCTGTTTGAGATTGAGCGTCTCCAGAGGGAGCGCTCGAAAATTGGCGCGGTAGCGTCCATCTCGCGCGGCGCACGGCTCGCCGCAAATCAAATCACGCGCAAATAGCGGCGCTGCACGAATCACGCCAGGCCCGCGGCATCGCTCGTGCCGTTTAAAGCGGGCCACGCAGCGATCACCCGAGAGAGCTAGAATTGCAAACAAATGCGAACAACAACGTTCTAATTTTCCTAATCACCGCAAACAACGCCAAGCTCGATCTTTCGCGAAAACACGTCGAACATTCTAGAATAGGCAAAAGAACGATTGTATAAAAGCTCTCTCGGGGAACCGCCAGGCACTCGATCCGTGACAGTGTGTTATTATAAATCTCTCGTGATAGAAAAGTCGCTCGCTTTTCTAGTTTGTACTCTCGCTTACGAAACGCGAAGTTCTCGATTGTAATAAAAGAGATTTCTCGTCGCTCGCGATTAATCTCTCGCAATTAAAACGCGCCGTTTATTCCGTCGCTCGCGGAATCGCGCCGTTTATACCGTCGCTTGCGGTATGCAAGACACATCCGCCGCTCGCGGAGAGTATCTTTGCGCGTCCGGTGCAAACGCGATCTCGCAGGGCTTCTCTCGCACACGTCCACTTCTTTCTCGCACATTTGTTGCTTCTCCGACGGGCACTCGCCACGGGCACTCGACGGCTATCGCCGGGTCGATTCGCCAGCAGTACTGGATTCCTCGGGGGCAACACCTGGTGAAAGCCGTGATCCAGCGCTGCGTCACCTGTGTGCGATGGCGGGCGGCCACGCAGCAGCAGATCATGGGCGATCTGCCGCGGTCACGCGTCACGCCAGCAAGGCCATTCTTGCGCACCGGCGTGGACTATGCCGGCCCCATCCAGTTGCGAACGAGCAAGGGGCGCGGACACCGAGCTCACAAGGCCTTCATCGCGGTCTTCGTGTGCCTCAGCACAAAGGCCGTGCATCTTGAGGTAGTCTCCGACGAGAAGCCTTCACTTGCGCACAGTATAATTGGACACGTTGCAATTGCACACTGTGATATTAGACACATAAAGTTGCGCACCGTTCGATTGGACACATTTCAATTGCGCACAATTCGTTTGGACACATTTCATTTGCACACTGTTCAATTGGACACGTTGTTTTTGGACATAACACATACTTTTGTATAATTTGGAATACATACACACGCATGTATGCATGTATAATTTTGAAATTTTTGGACATTTATTATTAACTTTATTTGGTAAAGAAACGTTTGTTACAGTTCGTTTACACACAGTTCGTTTGCAAACAGTTCTTTTGCGCACATTTCTTTTGCGCACATTTCTTTTGTGCACAGTTCGTTTGCACACTTTCCCATCCACACAACAATTATAGGGATCTTGTTTCGCGTTGTAAAGTATATGCGTGGACACAGTGGATTCCGCCCCCTCCCTTGGGGGGCTCCGCTTCCGGAAGATATAACCTAACCCAAACCTATTTCTGATTTAAAACTAAAATTTATGTGCGCAAATGAACTGTGCGCGAAAGAAGTGTGCGCAAAAGAAATGTGCGCAAAAGGAATGTGCGCAAAAGGAATGTGCGCAAAAGAACTGTGCGCAAAAGAACTGTGTGCAAACGAAATGTGTGTAAACGAATCGTAACAAACGTTTATTTACCAAATAAAGTTAATAATAAATGTCAAAATATTTGTGCCTCAGCACAAGGGCGGTGCATATTGAGGTGGTCTCCGACTACACCGCGGAAGCATTCCTGGCAGCATTGCGGCGGCTCACGGCTCGGCGGGGTCTCTGTCGCTCCCTTCACAATGACTGCGGCACCAACTTTGTCGGCGCCGACGCGCAGCTCCGAGCGTTTTTCGCCGCCAGCAACCCGGAACAGCGCCACATCGCCGATCAGCTGGCCAGCGACCGGATTCAATTATGCTTTAACCCCCCGGCAGCACCTCATTTCGGCGGTCTTTGGGAGGCAGCGGTGAAGTCGCTCAAGCACCATCTCCGCAGAGTGCTGGGCGAGACGACTCTAACATATGAGGAGATGAGCACCCTCCTCACGCAAATCGAGGCTTGCCTGAACTCTCGGCCTCTCCAGGCACTATCTGATGACCCGGACGATCTGGCGGCCCTGACACCGGGGCACTTCCTAGTGGGATCGGCCCTCAACGCGCTTCCCGAGCCAAGCCTCCTGGAGACACCAATTGGCCGCTTGTCCAGATGGCAGCAACTCCAGAGGATGCGCGATCACTTCTGGGCCCGGTGGTCCTAGGAGTACCTCCACTCGCTTCTCCAACGACCGAAGTGGTGGGCGATGAGCGACGATGTGCGAGTCGGTCGCCTGTGTCTCCTGCGCAGTGACAATATCCCGCCGACGCGTTGGCCTCTGGCCAGGATCACGCGGGTGCATCCTGGAGAGGACGGTCAAATCCGCATAGTCACGATCCGCACCGCCGCCTCGGAACTGACGCGACCGATCGCGAAAATAATCCTCCTGCCGGAGAGCAACTCCGTCGCGCAGGAGGACTAGCGAGCGAATCGCACGCACGCCGCCACTCGACGTCCCTGTAAAGAAAAAATAATAATCACGATCATATTAAAATAAACCGCGAAGCGCGTCAACATTTTTTCTCACGCGAATCCGGCGTGCGCCCAACCGAAACTCCGGCACAATCAGCTGCTCACATGGACACCGCGACCACCGCACAATACCACACGCAACCGCGAACACCGTCGCGAGAATATCGTCGCGACGCAACGGGAATAAGCGCGCGATAGCGGTTATCGGCTTTCGGAATCACTTGCACCGAGCAACCGATAAAATTCACGACACTTATGCGCAAGAACGATACAGCGTAACGCGTCGCACGATCTGCCGAAATTATAAATGGGAGCACATTCCATCGCAGCAGCGTCACGTTCGCGCCACGTGATCGACCCGAGTCACGCTCGCGCCGTGTGATCGCATACCGAGACGCCGAACTCGGCCGCAAGAAAATCGGCTCGCTCTCAACTCCGGCGTATTCCGCAACCAGCCAAAATTTCGTAGGCTACGCCATACGAGGCGGGCAGCATGTTCGAAATCGAATTAATTATAAACAATCACGGTCAGTATAACGAGCGTGATAGCAAAGCGCAGCTTAATCACGCTCATAAGTCGGCGCGCTGGCGGACATTTTGCACGGCGCGCGGCTCTCCGCGAATCAGAGCGCGCTTCGTCAGCCGCGGTCAGCAAATCACGCCAGGCCCGTGGCATTGCTCGTGCCGTTCAAAGCGGGGCACGCAGCGGTCACCCGAGAGAGCCGAAATTAAAAACAAATGCGAATAACAACGTTCTATTTTTCCTAATCATCGCAAACAATAGCAGGCTCGATCTTTCGCAAAAAACACATAGAATGTTCTAGAATCCGCAAAAGAACGGTTGTATATAAGCTCTCTCGGGGAACCGCCGGGCGCACTCGATCGAGATTTATCCGAGACAGTGTGTGAATATAGCGTTAAACTCTCGCGAAAGAAAAGTTACTCGCTTTTCTAATTCGTACTCTCGCTTACGAACCGCGAAGTTTCCGATTCGAATAAAAGAGATTTCTCGTCGCTCGCAATTAATCTCTCGCAATTCAAACGCGCCGTTTATTCCGTCGCTCGCTGAATCGCGCCGTTTTACCGTCGCTTGCGGTATTCGCAATATATCCGTCGCTCGTGGAGACTATCGCCACGCTCCCGGTCGCTCGCCGGAGCGAGGAATCGATTAAGATTAGAAGAAATCTTATCGCCGAAACATTTGTAAACTATTTATTTATTGAAATACAGTCTGTCCATTTTAAGCCAACAAACAGTGTCGTCAAGTCGCTCGTCTTTTCTCTGTCGGTTGTCTGTCTTGATTGCACCTCGATCTCGCAGGGCTCCTCTCGCCCACGTCCACTTCTTTATCGCACAGCAGCATTTTTATATTAACATTATAACTAGCAGTAAGGAGTTAGGAGTATAAGGAAATAATATTTTATTCATAGCAGTATTTTATAAGAGTCTTAAACTGTGCATGGTGATGCAAGTCGGCCGTCGATCAATACTTTTATCCAAAAGGCCGACAAGATAAGAGGGAAGCCCGGAGAACAACGGCTGCAAAGGCTGATGCAACCAAGTTGGTATGCAGACGATGAAGTCATGCTGTGGATGAGGCATTAGGGAACCCTCGGCGCACATCAGGGAAGCCCCGTAGCGTTCCCTACCAACGACGCTTCTACTTGCCGTATTCCCGCCTATGGATTATTATTATTCCTGTGCAACTTGAAGCTACGGGATATATAATGTGTTCGTTAGTAGTAAAATAATTGTTATTTAAGTCTTCGTTTGTTTCGTCAAGTCTTTCGCTTAGGTCCCTTAATTCTGTCGGGTTTCTAATGACTTTTCGTAATTTTATCGGTCTAATTTTGTCCAGTATTTTTTCGTTTCGTTTGTCATGTATCATCGTAAGATTGTAATCTGGTAGATTTGTCTGTACGATTGTTATTATCGCGGGCTTTTTTGTTCGTATTATGACGTCTTGCGTCGTTAATTTACATTTTTCCTTTAATGTGATTTGTCCGCTTCTTTTTATTTCTAGTTTTCGCGTTGCGTCGTTTTCGCACGTTATTTCGATCGGTTGGTTTGCTCGTGTAGAGTATAACCATGAGTTCGCATTACTCAGCGCTATTTATATGGTTGTATTCGTGTGTATGTGTCGAATATTACAGTTGATTGTGTATGTCTCTAACTGTACATATGCTGGTACTTCGCATAGCGCTCCTTCGTCTAAGTAATGTATGGAATAATTTTGTTCGCAAACATATTGATCATTATTTCGCACGCATTTATTTAGATCGTTTTCGGTAGGCGTAAAATACGTTCGGCTATCTACGTCTATCGCTATTATCAGTTAATTTACTTCTATGATATAAATATAAATGTGTTATTAAATTTGTGCGTAGCTAATGGGATTGCCTTTATTATTTCATACTCGGGGTATGTGATTAGTGAAATCTTTATAATCGTAAAAATATTTGTATTATCGTAGTATGCGCTAATTGTTAAGAACTTTTCGATTGTTCTCCAATTTTCTGCAGATATTTGAAATGGGAAGTGCGTTCCCAGCGGTATTTGTGACGCTGTTTCCTTCATGTTATCTAGAATGCTTTCGATGGGTAATAATCTTATGTCGATTATCTCTTTTTTCGCGTTCGTCAGATGCGCGATAATGTCCATAAGATCGTTCGATAGATCTTTTATTATGGCATTTAATATTATGAAGTGTTCGTCGAGATCCTCTCGTTGTCCATATCCGACTTCTGTTTGTATCCAGGCTTGTCGCATCTTCTCTGTTATATTTAAGAATTGTTCTTCATTTTCTTGCAGAACTTTTTCAACATTATCAACATGCGCAATTGTTGCGTTTAATACTTTAATTTGATTTGCAGCGTTTGCTGATTCCTTTGTATGAGATTTAATTGCTCCTTTATAATTTTTTCGTCGTCTGCGTCCATTGTGCCGAAGAGTGTTTTGGCTATCGTTCCTAGACCGTCGATTAGCCCTCGTCTTGTCTTCTTGGGTGCTTGGTACGCAAATTTTAGGCGTTTTAGCAATTTTTCTGCTTGTTCTCTGTCCTTTTCTGCTATTTGTAGCAGGTTGTGGCAGGTTTCTTTCATTTTTATTTGCAATGGTTTATCGTAGCATAGAGCTCTCGTCTGTGCCATATAGTTTCTCAATTGTTCATGTCGATGGTCCATTGCGGCGATGTCTATTTTTATCACCATCTTCCATGTGGACTCGATTTGGTTTATCTTGCCCATTTTTTCGAAGTAGGTACCCGGTTCATATTTAAATTCTTTTATTTCGACTTGGGTATCAGGTTCGGTTTCCTTACAGGTGCTCCGTGCAATAAGACTCCTGTAATAGAAAGCTTTGTATTATATTATAATATTTTCTTAGAATCATTTGCGGTGCATTCTCTTTTTCTCTGGATGCATATGCGGCTATTTGCTTTTATCTAGCCCTTTCCAGGCTTTTTATTCGCTCTTCCATTCAGTCTGTCTTCCGACGTCGTCTCGTACTTTTAATCCTGTACGGAAATTTTTCTTGCGTGTTGTCTCGTCGCGTTGTGCGAACGGTTCTTTGAGTTTTTTCGGGTGTTATGGCTCCCAACTGTCACGAGCTATTTTTCAGTGTTACTTAAAACTCTATCTTAGGGGTCAGTATTCTTTAGTGGAGGTGTCAGACGTATCGGACCATTTTGCCCGTTCCTTTCGGGACCAAATCTCGGCGCCCGCGCTTGTTTGCGAGGTCGAGTTGCTGGGTCTTCCGGATTTAGTGGTCGATCGTGACACTGATTTTGTGCCGGAAGTGCCTGTGGACGCGCCGTCGCCCCGTATCAATCGGGGTCGCGGACTTGAATTTCGGTGGGATCCGGCGCCTCGTTTTGTGGGTCGTGGTCGCTTTCTCAACCCTGAGCCTCGCCCTGTGGGTCGTGGTCGTGCTCTTCTTCAGGCTATGCGGGAGTGGAATCTGGGTCGCGGTGCTGGGCGTGGACGTTAAGGTAGGAATTTTGTATTTCCGTTTCTCTTATTATTTATTCTATTTTTTTATTTTGTTCGAGCATTTTTCTTTCTCTTTCTTTTTTTCTTACTCTTTAATTTTCGATAAATGGCTTCAATCGATTTATTTGGACGCGTATGGTTTTCCTTCCCCTTTTTATTGTGTAGTTCACTTCAGAATTCTCTTCGATTATCGTGTAGGGTCCGGCCCATAGGGAGTCCAATTTCTTTAATCGTCCTCGGCGAACTGTTTCGTCGTACAAGAGGACTTTTTCTCCTACCTTGAGTTTGATTTCTTTCGTCTTTTTATCGTAATTTTCTTTAGTTTTTATTTTTTCATTCTTTATGTGCTCCTTTGCAACTTGCTGTGAGGCGCGTAATTTTTCTTTTAATTCTTGAGCGTAATCATCGTATGTATACGTGGGCTTAGGCGGTTGCGACAATGTCGTCGGTAATGTTGCTCGGTGCCCGTAAATTAATTCGAAGGGTGTGAACCCTGTCGCCGTGTGCGGTGTCGTATTATACGTAAACATCGCGTAGGGAATCCATTCGTCCCAATCCGTTTGATCGGCGTTTATATAATGTCGGAGATATTCGGCTAGAGTCCGGTGAGATCGTTCTAGCGCTCCGTTGCTTTCCGGATGATACGCGGTTGTTTGGATCTTTTCGATTTTTAATAGTTTGCAAGTGTTTTTAAATATTTCACTTAAAAAATTTGTTCCTTGATCCGTTAATATTTTTTCTGGGATACCGTGTTCGAAAATTATTTTAGTCAAGAATTTTTTTGCAACTGTCGCGGCTTCTTGATTCGGTATCGGAATTGCTTTGCTAAATTTTGTTAAATTATCTTGAAACGTTAAAATATATGGTTCGGTCCATGGGGAGTCCAATTTCTTTGATTGTCCTCGGCGAACTGTTTCATCGTACAAGAGGAATTTTTCTCCTACCTTGAGTTTGATTTTTTTCGTCTTTTTATCGTAATTTTCTTTAGTTTTTATTTTTTCATTCTTTATGTGCTCCTTTGCAATTTGCTATGAGGCGCGCAATTTTTCTTTTAATTCTTGAGCATAATCATCGTATGTATACGTGGGCTTAGGCGGTTGCGACAATGTCGTCGGTAATGTTGCTCGGTGCCCGTAAATTAATTCGAAGGGTGTGAACCCTGTCGCCGTGTGCGGTGTTGTATTGTATGTAAACATCGCATAGGGAATCCATTCGTCCCAATCCGTTTGATCGGCATTTATATAATGTCGGAGATATTCGGCTAGAGTCCGGTGAGATCGTTCTAGCGCTCCGTTGCTTTCCGGATGATACGCGGTTGTTTGGATCTTTTCGATTTTTAATAATTTGCAAGTGTTTTTAAATATTTCACTTAAAAAATTTGTTCCTTGATCCGTTAATATTTTTTCTGGGATGCCGTGTTCGAAAATTATTTTAGTCAAGAATTTTTTTGCAACTGTCGCGGCTTCTTGATTTGGTATCGGAATTGCTTTGCTAAATTCTGTTAAATTATCTTGAAACGTTAAAATATATTTATTTCCATTATTAGTAATCGTTAGTGGACCTACGATGTCCAAAGCACATTTTTCAAAAGATTTATCGGCAGTATCCGTTATTATTAGCGGCGCCTTAATTTTTCGCGATTATTTGTTTTTTTGACAAAATTCGCATTTTGTTATATAGTCTTCGACATCTTTTGTCAATCCTCGCCAATTGTGCCATTAGGCGAATTCGATTAATCGTGCGCTCTTTTCCTTGATGCCCTCCCACAGATGCATCATGATATTTGAATAGAATACGTCGCTTCTCGTCTTCCGTGTATTCTCGCGTTATCTTCGTGTCGGTGCTCTCATCCTCCTCGACGCTGTTGATATCCGCCACGTGTCGACTTAGCGCATCAGCGTTTCTGTTCGCTGTTCCGGCCTTGTGTATGATCTCGTAATCGTATTCTTCTAATTTTAATTTCCATCTAATTAATCGAGATCCAGGGTCGGTTACATTAAATAACCATACGAGCGATTTATGGTCTGTGACTATCGTAAATTTTGTCCCGTATAAGTACGGTCGAAAATGTTTAACGTCCCATACTATTGCTTATAGTTACTTTTCGATCGTATTATAATTTTGTTCGGCTTTCGATAGTATTCGACTGGCATATGCTATTGGTTGATCTTGGCCTATTTCTCCTTGTGATAATATCGGTCCGATTGCATAATCTGATGCATCGGTCGTTCCGATAAATTCTTTTTCGAAATCTGGATACTTTAGTAAAGGTGCCGTCGTTAATTTTTCTTTAAGCATTTCTTCCAATTTGGTTGGATCCGGCGATATTCCGTTTTCTGTAATTATTGTATATGACCTAAGTATGTCACTTCTTTTCGTAGGAATTCGCAATTGTCCGGCTGTAATTTCAGATTGTTTTCTCGCAATCTTTGTAGGACTTCGTTGAGTCTCTTGTTATGATCTTGTAAGCTGGCTCCGTAGATTACGATGTCATCTAAATAGACTAAGCATTTTATTCCTTGTATGGCTATCAGTATTGAATTCATTAGCCTTTGAAATATGGCTGGCATATTTTTTAATCCGAAGGGCATTCTATTGTATTCGTAATGCCCGTGAGGTGTGGAAAAAGCAGTTTTGCATTTGTCGCCTTCTTCCATCGGAATTTGGTGGTATCCGGATGCTAAATCCAGAGTTGTAAAGTACTTGGCGTTTCCGAGTTGATCTAATATATCCGTTATATTCGGTAAGGGAAATGAATCTCCTATAGTTAGATCATTTAATTTTCTAAAATCTACGACTACTCGTAATTTCGGTTTTCCTGACGCATCGGCTTTCTTAGGGACTACCAATAACGGTGCGTTCCACTGGCTCGTGCTTGGTCGGATTATTTTATTTTTTAACACTTCTCAGACTTGTCGATTTACTTCCTCTTTATCCTTCTTCGGCAGGCGGTAAGGCCGTATGTTGACCGGTGAGCTATCTGCTTGCGTTGCAATCTTATGCGCGACGGTATCTGACGTCAGTGGTTTTCCTTCGATATGCATTACGTCGCTAAAATCCTTGCAGATTTCCATTATCATTTTCTTTTCTTCTTTATTTAAACGTTGTGTACGTAATAATCGTAATACTTTTTCACTACGCGGGATTACTTCCTCTTTATTTGGCGTTCGTATTACGTTAATTTCTTCTGTTTCACTTCGTTCAATTTCCTCTATACTTACTTGCGGCCTTAACAATTCGATTATGTTATCCGTTGTATTTAGAATGCTTGCTGCACATAAGTAATTCGTAGGTTCTACTAGGCAATTACCTATAAATATTCCTGGTATTGTTTCTTCTGCCTTTATCACGTCTATCGTGTTCTTATCAGTAGCGACCTGTATTATTGTTTCGCTACCTGGTTTCAACGTCATTTTTAGATAGGGGTAAAGCTTTAAGATATGCTGTCCCACCTTTAATTGTTTTGTTTTATAATTGCAAGTGGCTTGATGTTTTCGTAGGAAATCAACTCCTAGTATTCCGTCATATTCTATCGAAAAGTCATCCTTAACAACGTACGTAGTGTGCTCGATTCGGCGCTTTTCCAGAGTTATTGTCGCCTTAAATTTTCCAATTGTACATATCTTATGTCCTGTTACTCCTGTAAGCGCTATTTTATCTTCTGTTATTAGCGTTTCGTCTTTTAAATGCTTTACTTTAATTAGTGATATAGCGGCTCCCGTGTCGAACAATAAATTTATTTTTCCTTTTTTCGATTCTCGCATAGGTAAAGCGACTAAGTCTAGTCCTGTATGCGTTCGCGGGGCACGCTTCACGTGTGTAACGCGATATTCGATTGCAGGTCGTCGCTGCTTCTTTTCTTCCTTGTCTTCCTTGTCACTGCTGTGCGCAGTATTAGATCTCCTTTTCGCTTGCTCGTTGCTCTTACGATTTTATTTTCCGGTCGCGAATTATATTGTTTGGTTCGGCTCGATTGATCTCTATTGGGTCGTCCGTGTAATAACCAACATTCTTCGCGATCGTGTCCGGATTTTTTGCAATAATTGCAATATTTATTTATCGTATTTACGCGGGGTTGTCTATCGGGTTTCGGCAATGAAAATCGATTCGCGTATCGGCTAGTTCGACAATCTCGACCGTAATGCCCGGTTTTTCCGCATTTTTGACATTTTACATTCGTTTGCTTTTCCTGTTTATAGGTCGGTGTAAAATTGATTTTGCTTCGCGTGCCGGTCGCGGACGGTCCTTTAACCTTTTCTTCCGCATTGGCCGCTGCTATTGCTTCTTGCAACATAGCATATAATAAACGCGCGTTTATTCTCTACTGTATGATGACGTCCTTCCATCATCAAATCGTATAGCTTCATGGCTAGTTTGTCGGCTCCAAGTCCGTAAGTTCGCGCGCTTTCTCCGTTTTTCTGTTTTAGCGTGTTAAATTCAATTTGTAGATGTGTCGTACTCTTTTTACTCGCATAGCATACCTCTAATTCATTTTTTAATTGCGCGAAGTCTCGAATTTTTTGCGTTCGGAAATCTAGCATTGCTCTGCCTTTTAATTTCGTGCATAATACCGCTCCTAATAGCGTTGCTTCATCTAACGGGTCGATATGTTCTACTGCATGTGTAGTCGCGCTTAAAAATTCTTGCAATTTATTTGGCGATCCGTCGAATTCCGGAATCATTCCGCGAGCCTCTTTTAATGGTAAAAATCCGCGTCCTCTTCGATGTCGTACATCTTCGGGTGTGGACTCGTACGCGGTTTCGGTTCTTTCTCCCGGCGGAGTTCTATGCTCATTGTTTTGTCGGGGTTGCGATCCTCTCATTTTTAAATCGTATATCTCGGCATGCATACTTCTAATTTCCCGTCTCATTTCCTCTCTCATTTCTCGCAATATGTCCCTAAGGTCGGCTGCTTCGTCCGTTTCTTTCTGCGGTTTGTATTGAGCTTGCGCGTTTGATTGTGTCGCGTTTCTATTTGCTTCTTCTTGTAATCGCTTAATTCCCTCATCGATATCTTCCGATGTGATGGGTTGCGATGCGGAAGCGTTTGAGTTATACATGTCTCGAGTACGATAGATTTCGTCGGGGTCAAAGATACTCGAATCGTATAACGTTGTGAGAATTTGCGGCGGTGTGTTAGTCTACTAGACGCGCTTATTGATGATTCGACATCAACATCTAGTTCTATATTATTCGCTATTAAACTGTTGTCTAATTCGCCGAAAGAAAATTCGCGTTTGATTACAACATTTGGTCCGAGTTCTGGTTCGGACAAATTCTCTCTTAAATTTAATGCGCTTAGATTTCTTCGTACGTTATCGCGTATATCCCGGAGTGCTTCTACTGCAACTCTTATTGGGCTTACTGCCCTATTTCTAATGGCTCTATTCGCTGGTTCGCTAAATAGCCACGATTTATTCGCTACGCTTTTTTGTTGTGCATTTCGGTTTTCTGACATTCACGCGTTTACAAATTTTTAATTGTTCGACTTACAATAATACGATGAGCAGCGTTGGTTTATTATCTACTGTATGATGACGTCCTTCCATCATCGATTCGTATAGCTCCATGGCTAGTTTGTCGGCTCTAAGTCCGTAAGTTCGCGCGCTTTCTCCGTTCTTCTGTTTTAGCGTGTTAAATTCAATTTGTAGATGGGTCGTACTCTTTTTGCTTGCGTAACAGACCTCTAATTCTTGTTTCAACTGTGCGAAATCTTGAATTTTACGCGTTTGAAAGTCTAGCATCGCTCTGCCTTTTAATTTCGTGCATAATACTGCTCCTAATAGCGTTACTTCGTCTAATGGGTCAATATGTTCTACTGCATATGTAGTCGCGCTCAAAAATTCTTGCAATTTATTTGGCGATCCGTCGAATTCCGGAATCATTCCGCGAGCCTCTTTTAATGGTAAAAATCCGCGTCCTCTTCGATGTCGTACATCTTCGGGTGTGGACTCGTACGCGGTTTCGGTTCTTTCTCCCGGCGGGGTTCTATGCTCATTGTTTTGTCGGGGTTGCGATCCTCTCATTTTTAAATCGTATATCTCGGCATGCATACTTCTAATTTCCCGTCTCATTTCCTCTCTCATTTCCCGCAATATGTCCCTAAGGTCGGCTGCTTCGTCCGTTTCTTTCCGCGGTTTGTATTGAGCTTGCGCGTTTGATTGTGTCGCGTTTCTATTTGCTTCTTCTTGTAATCGCTTAATTCCCTCATCGATATCTTCCGATGTGATGGGTTGCGATGCGGAAGCGTTTGAATTATACATGTCTCGAGTACGATAGATTTCGTCGGGGTCAAAGATACTTGAATCGTATGACGTTAGTGAGAATTCGCGGCGGTGTGTTAGTCTACTAGACGCGCTTATTGATGATTCGACATCAATATCTAGTTCTATATTATTTGCTATTAAACTGTTGTCTAATTCGCCGAATGAAAATTCGCGTTCGATTACAACGTTTGTTCCGAGTTCTGGTTCGGACAAATTCTCGCTTGAATTTAATTCATTTAGATTTCTTCGTACGTTATCGCGTATGTCCCGGAGTGCTTCTACTGCTACTCTTATTGGGCTTACTGCGCTATTTCTAATGGCTCTATTCGCTGGTTCGCTAAATAGCCACGATTTATTCGCTACGCTTTTTTGTTGCGCGTTTCGGTTTTCCGACATTCACGCGTTTACAAATTTTTTATTGTTCGACTTACAAAAATACGATGAGCAGCATTGTCTCTCGTTCGGTGTCGGCCGTCGGGCGTCGATCGTCGCGTGCTGTTGAGATAGGTCGGTGCGCCTTCTCAGGTTTCGCTTATCGTTGTCGCCTCGATGTTCGGGTGACTCGAAGTTCCTGATGGACTTTCTTTTCCTTTTCCTCAGTTGTTGACCGTTTGACGGAGTTTCCTTTGCTGTCTCTCGTTCTGTCGATTCCACGGAATTTTTCTTCCTCGTGGTTGTGGACCTTTGCAGGTGTCGATCTTGTTAGAGTTGGCGAATCCCAGCGCTGCCACCAATTAATGTTGTGCCTCTAGCCGCTAAGGAAGAGGTCTTTAGGGATTTATACGCCCAAAGGATTAGGATCCACGCTCGTAATAAGATACTCCCGGACGTTAGGTAAAAATTGATATATTTCACAGATTCTTATATAATATTTTAATGCTTTGCTTTATTCAGCTCTTTCTTAATCTTTTCTGTTTTACTTTATTGTTTTATTTTTTAATATATTAGGAAATTGGTCGAGTTACGACACCTGTGTTGAATACGGCTTCAACCAATCACGTTTTACATACGCGCGCCTACTCGAACTACCCATAATCATGTAACGCTTATTATTGCTACGGTTCTAAATAACTAAATAAATGTCTTTAAACAGTTCGCATGCACTTCCTAGCATCCCCCGTTTCATCGGAGTCTCCTTCGCTGCTCCGGGGTCCTTCGCGGATCCCTTCTGGTTTCCCTTCCTCGGCTGCTATCTTTCCTATCAGGCATCTGGGGCTTTCCGACGCCCGTACTTTCGACCTCTCGCCCCTCCCTAACGGGGCCTAATTCAGCCGATCTCATACCCCCTTCTAAAGTTTGCGCGAAATTCCTTTGGTATTTCGCGTGAACTTTCCCTTGAAAGGAGTCGTCTGCCATATGAGTCGGATGATCGTCGTCTTCTTCGTCCTCGATGTGGAATCTTCTCTCCTTCCCCCTTTTTTTCTTGACCGGTGTATCCTTCTCCGATCCTTCGCAGTTTCTTTTTCCTGCGTGTTCCCTGTCCGTCGACTCGTCGCTAAATTTGCCTCCTTTCGAGTCGTCCTCCTTCGTTCTTTATTTTAAGAGTTCCTCGAGCGATGCTTCCTCAGCTAGGTCACAAACCGGCTGTTGTTTAACCGCCCTTGACCCGGTCTGGCCCCTGCTCGTGTCCTTGAAGTGTCCCACCAAGTGTTGGGTAATCCTGGGTTTGTTCGCACCTTCCTGTTTTCCTCCTCCGCTGTTCACTCCATCCGATATCCAGCATCATTTTCTCGGCTCGAACTCTCCTATATCGTGTAAGTCGTTACTCTCAAATTCATAAGCAACGCTTACCGTTTTCTTTTGCCTCTTATCCGGACGCTCGTCTCTAATCTGCATCAGGGTTTTTACTGTGAATTCCTTTTCTTTTTTCCCGTTCACTATGTCGACCTCGTCGTAATATACAGTAGCCGACTTATCCTTTTCCATTTCTCGTCTGGTCTTGTCCATGTTCCGCTTGCGCTTCCTTCCTTCCTTCATTGCTTGTTGTTGGTCACCTTGTATCTCCGCTCGCACCTTTTTTACATGCTTTAATTTCTTATATCTAACATTTTCTTTATTTAATTGATCGCGTAACATCTTTGTAATTGCTCGTTCCTCGCGATAGATTTCTCGCAATGATCGCATTAGTTTATAATTTATATTTTTTATTGATCCGTATAACGTTCGCGCTCGCCTTTTTCCTATAATTCTACTCATTTCGCGCGGTTTTCCTAATCTATTATTATTGTCTATCGTTCTTTCCTTTGTTCGATCTTCTACCTGTTTCGCCTCTCTCTGTCTATTTTCCGAACACACCGTGAATGTCGCGTTCGCATCTATGTGTCGTGTACCCCATGCTCCGTCACCACGCTCGCGTTGTTTTGACAGCTCGCCGCCACCGTTACATTCTTCTTGATTGTTTATCGTTGTCGCGTCCGAATTTACCTTCCCCGCCTCGTATTCTTCGCTCGCGTCCGTATTACACGTTTCAGTGTCTATTTTGTTATCGCCTCGCGACGCGTGTGTTATCATTGAGGTGTTACGGCTTTTATCCTCGTCTACGTTCGAGTTATTTTGTGTGCTTTCGTTTTCGCATCTATCTATCGTGACTTCGCGTGTGTCTTCCCTGTCTTTCGTTTCGTCACTGTCAAAGTCGTGTTGTGAATCTAATTCAGTTCTCTTTCTTTCCAGATTCTAGTAGTATCTGGATTTGTTTACGTATTTGAATGTTTCTTTCTTACGGATAATGTCTGCGTCCGTCTCGTCACTCTCCTTATTATTCGCCTTCGTTGTTGGGATTTGGATATGTTGGTCACTTCTCTCCAATGGATATATATTCTCCTTCTGATCTTCTAGCATTGTGGTAAGTCTCCTACTGGATTCTCTTCCCATTATGATTGCTTCGCTTCTTCCGAATAGCACGATAGGATATATTTCCCTTTTCCTTTCATGCGTCTCTAGTTCTATACGTACCATCTTTACTTTCGTATCCTTCATCCTTCTCATACACTCCGGTATCAATTCTCTCCTTGTTATATTGTATATACTATCTCTGCATTCTCCCTCTCCAGCCTGTCGACGCATGCCGTAGAAATAATGTCACATTGTCCCGCTTTGTTCTGTTTATCCGCTTGCCTCTTTCTCTCTTTGACTCTTTTCTCCAACCTCTTTGCCGCGTTATCAATTCTCTCTTGTATTCCTACCAATTTGTCCTCTAATTTTGTCTCGGGTTTCAGGCTCGGGTCTATTTTTATCTCCTCCTGCATGTTTTCGTGTAACTCTATTGGCTGATATCCCGTACTTCGGTGCTCCGTTTCGTTTATTGTTTTCTCTGCTCTCTCGATTATGCGGTCCCATTTGGTTTGTTCGTCGTGTGCGTATACTCTCACAATTCGTCCTATCTCCCTTATTACTCGCTCCACCGGATTGCTCTGTGGGTTGTATGGTGATGTCTTTCGTATGAAAAATCTCATATCCACTCCAAACTCTCTCCATCTGTCCGTCAGGAACTGGCCCCCATTGTCTGTTAATATTTCTTCCGGGAAACCGTTTGTTGTGCAGTATTTTGTCTATAATATATCCATTATTGTCTCTAGTTTTTGGTATTTCATTGGGTATAATTTTGTCAGCTTTGAGAATTGGTCCATTAGTACCAATACGTATTTGTTCCCCTTTGGTGTTTGGGGTAGGTCCGAAAATATCCATTGACACCGTATGCCCCGGTCTATCCGGTAATACGTAATACTCTATTCCCCGGGTTGGTCTCGTGTAATACTTGGTCGCATGGCATATCTCGCATGATGCCACCACGTCTCTCGTTATCCTGTCCATATTATTTATTATAAAGTATCTATTTGCAAAGTCAATTACTTTATCTGTACCGGAATGGAGTATGTACTCGTGTATTTTCTTGATTAACGTCCAGCTCAATTTGTCTAGAACGATAATCCTTTCTCCGTTCAATGTCACTATTCTTGTTAATCCTTTTCTATCGTATAATTGCTCCGGAAACATTCTTTTTTCTTGCAATACTTCATTTTTTTCCTGTTCTTCCTGAATTAATCTTACCCAGTTGCTTGTCCCGACTGCGTCATCCGGTTTACTTCTAATTGGTGCGATTATTCTTGCTTCTTCCACCCTTTCTATATCTGTCCCCCTACTGTGCATTCTTGATAGGGAATCTGCTATTGTATTTTCCTTTGCCGCTATATGCTCTATTTCCAGATCGAATTCTTGTAAGAACGCTATCCATCTCGCTATTCGCGCACTATCATCCGCGCATGCTGTCAGAAACTTTAACGCTCTATGGTCTGTGTGTATTTTGATATGTCTTCCGAGTAATATCGTATGTCATTTTTTAAGCGCCCACACAATCGCTAAGCATTCTAGTTCTGTGATAGTATAATTTCTCTCTGCCCTTTTTAAGCTCCTACTCGCATATGCAATCGTATATCGTTTGTCTGGGTTTTCGCGGTCGTACTGATATAATCTCGCTCTTAGCCCCGTCTTCGACGCGTCCATGAATAGTCCGAATCTCATTCCTATCCTTATTGTGAACAACGCCGGCGCGTCATCAAATGCTGCTTTGATTTCTTTAAACGCTTGTTGTTGCTCTTGTCCCCATACGAATCTAGTGTCTTTCTTTAATAATTTTTCTAATGGCTACGTCATGTTTGCCAAATTTTTAATAAATCGCCGATCCCAATTAATTAAAAAATAATAATGATAGAGGCTCTTTGGATTAAAATCAAATATAATAGAAAAGGGCATTTAGAGCTAAGCGCGGTACGTAGTGCGCAAACTGTTTATTATTAGTGATAAATTAATACCAATATAGATTTCGAACGTTTCGACCCTTCATTTGGGTCATCTTCAGCGCAGAAGTTAAACTAACAAACGTAAATTTAACGTCGCATGGTTATAAAATCAGTCATACATAGTCATACATTGCATTAAAATTAAAAATTAAAAATAAAGAACCGGAGGTCCCTCACATCTTCATGAACGTTGATATAAAAATAATAAATTAATGAAAATTAAAATTAATAAAGTATAATAAATTGATAAAAAATTAATAAAAATCAATAAATTAACAAAAATTAAAATTAATAAACGTATCTATAAGTTAAGATATTACATAGAACATACAAAATTAAATTTTTGAAAGATTATCAAGCACAGAAAAATACATATCGAGGAGAGATTCCGTGTCCGTCTGCAAATTCAAACCGTTCTTCTGCCTTTTTATGTATAGAATTTCAGAGATCAATCGCCTACGTAATTGAGGTTCATTATCTAAAATTTTAACACAATCCCAATCAAAATTATGGTTGAAATTTATTCTATGATCAGTATTTACCGAGTGATTGCTCGTATTTCTCCTGATGTGATTATTGTGCTCCAAAATACGCGTATTTAATTGTCGTTTAGTCTGACCTACATAAGAGGCATCACAATCATTGCAGTCAATTTTATATACGACATTTTGACGAGCTGTCAAGGGGCAGAGGTCTTTGTGTACTTTTATAAAGGAGTTCAACTTATTAAGACTCTGGTAAGACAACCT